TGAGAGATAAGTATTTTATTTGTATTATATAAATAACATCTTTCTTATAGTTAAACTATCGGTTTTCAAATTACATCAATTATAATTTATAATTCATAAATAACACAAGAAGGAAATGTTAATTATGAAGAAAAATATGCGACTTACAAATTATTATGGAATAATCTTGAATTATTCATTGTAAATACGTTAATGATATAATTATGATTATTTCCATGTATATAGTAGATTATACAATTTTTATACTATATGTATAGTTGTACATGATACTGTTATCGCAATATCATAACATTATTTCACGTTTATCAAATAGAATAATGCATATTTTTCTTACGTTTGTAATAATTTTTCTACTACATGACGTAAACATTGTTGATATCATTGTTCATGTCAATTATTGTTTATTTATATTATACTTAGTTATTATTTATTATTAATAATAATTTATTGTCGTTACCATGTATTAATATTTTCCTGTAAGATTATTGTAATTCTTCAGGTTCATTCGTAATTATTGCATCATAGGATCTGCATTGTGTTCGTAATGAAATTGATTCATTCTGAAATTTAAATAGAAATTTATTTCAATTTTGCATGCTCTTCAAAATTGGAGATCGCCGCAATTTTGCATTGTCAACGTATATTTTGATGGAAATATTGTATATTAGATTGTAATGCATGAAATTGCCACTTTTTAAATTTGAAATAAGAACGATGTTAACAAAATAATATTTTTTTAATTGTTTTTGCAGTAATGGTTATTGCCAACTGTAAATTAGTTTTTTAACTCCTGACTTAATATGTATCCACATAATTGTTATTAAGAGCGACGCCGAATAGTATTTTAGCTGAAAATATGACACTTTTTACTTAAAAGCAAAAGCAAGCGAATTTCTCAATTTCCTGGATACATTATGAAGATAAATTCTACTTACCACACGATCTATAAGTAATCTAGTGAGAGACGGCAATTTAAATTGACTTTAAAAATACATGTACAATATAATGGAACAAACAATGGAACAATGGAACTAACAAAATGGAGTTTGAATGTAATGTATTAAATCATAACGTACATAAACGAATACATTTTTCATAATACAAATGAATTATATAATAACGCATGTTAACATTGGTAGCTGAGCAACGCATGAAGGGAACAAAAGATTGAAACATTAACATCCATAA